GATAAAACGACATTCCACGAACTTAATGACTCCCACGTGTGTGTGTGTGTGTGTGTGTGTGTGTGTATATATATATATATATATATAGGAAGAGCTATATCTGTAACAGGCCGTGGAGGCCCATGGCGTTGTGAGACATCGAGGCCCCCACATTTCCTACAAAAGAGGCTCACATATGGCAGTGAGGTCAGCCTTACACGCTGGCCGCCCTATATCCCCAGGGAGATTCCTAGTAGTCATTTCTATTAGAGGCTAAGTCGAACCCAGGGCCATACTGCGGCCGGGAGGATTAGGTAAATTGAAAAAATTCAACGACCTCATTGGGAATTGAACCCGCGACCTTCCGGCTTGTAGCATAATGCCCCCATTTATACTCATATACATGTATGTGTGTGTGTGTTTTCAAATCCCTGTGCCTCCAATTCTGCGCAGACTCCGTAAGAACTGCACTGTCAATGTTTGTGCCGTTACACACTAGTTGTCATGGAAACATCGTCTTTTTGAACAAAGCATGCACTGAAAAACTTGCTTCCAACACAAGATGACTGTCTGTTATGACTCATATTGTCCAGGAATCAAGCTTAGCTGATCTCATTTCCAAGTTTCACAGTTCTAGCCTAAGTGGGCTTGTGACGTAACGAGTGTGACCTTGTGTGCGGCAGGTATGTACCGGCCACAGTCGGCTGCCACGATGCAGGAGACAGAATTGATCAACAAGTCAAGGCGCCAAGTCGTGATGGCGAAGGAACCGCTGGAGAAACTGCGACACCTCTGCCTGTCTAGGGGCGCCACTGGGATCCTTGGGCTTGGCCGGTAAGTGTTTATTTACTGTAGCACAAAGTGATTTTGAATTACTGTAGGGGTTTCCGTGCTCTATAATTTTCAAAACGGAAACAGAAAACAAAACTACTTGCCGAATATGAAAGTCATTGCCAAATAAATTATCTTAGTTACAATTTCATATTCCGTAAGCAGTTTTATTTTGTTATTTCCGGTTTGAAAATTATAGGCCACGGAAACACCGACAGTAATTTAGAATTCCATTGTATAGTTAACGACGCTATCCCTAAATCAGGCTCTACCGTCGAGTTCTAAAACGATGAATGACGTAAAAATGGAATGATTCGGTCGTGTACTGTCCCGACTTCTAAACGCCTCAAATCTTCAAGTTAGGATACTTGATGTCCAGACGGAGATTCGAACCAGATACCACCCGAATACAAGTAAGAAAATTTATCGCTTCAACAAACTTGCCCACAAAGTTAAATGAGAAGGTTACATGCATAAGCAGGGGCGTTGTCCTAGGCGATCCAGCACGCAACACCACGTTGGAGGAAATGTGTAGGAAGCCTGATATGACGCTGTTCTCCTTGCCTAACGATCAGATCTACAATCCAAGTGTTGAATTGACACAACGAACAGCACACGAAACGCATATACTGATGCATTTCAGAGGCTGAAAATGAAACAAGCCATATGAAATTCCCATCTCAAAACCGTGTCTATACAACTGTCACGACGCTGCCGTGTCACTCAAAACGGAGGTGTTTCGACGCTGAACGCCTTGCTTCTACGTACTAAATTTGGGGTTTCGTTAACTGATATGAACCCCACAGGAGGTGGTAACCTCGTCGACAGGTCACGTAAGATTTACAGGGCCCTTGCATCGTAATGGTCTTCGATCTGTTTTGTAAGATTTACGCCTCCCCGCCATGTTAGGTGGGTCCCTTGTCACCACGGCATGGCGTGTACCCAGGTTGCGGATGCAGGAGACGGTCTCCAGGTATGGAGGGAAGCTGCGAATATATTGAATAATCAGTCGCGGACAGACGCCAAGGGGTGGTCCTACAAATTGGGGGTTGGGCGTGGAGCTAACAACTCCTCACCGTAAAAATTAAGCTTGTTGCGAAAGATCACAAGAAGCATCGGACCTGGACGGATTCTTTGGATAAACTACCTAAGCGAAAGAAAATGGATCGGACCGATATGGCTCGGGATAGGGACGAATGGAGGGCTCTTGTGAACGCGGTAATGAACCTTCGGGTTCCACAAAATGCTGAGAAGGTCTTGAGTATCTGCATAAATGGCGGCTTCTCAAGAAGGACTCAGCTCCATGAGTGTGTGACCCCCCTCCCTTCCGCCAGAAATTTCGCACCTTCAGAGAAGCTCAGTGTGTTACCTTATCGTACAAGCTGGTGTCATGGATTTGATTTGTTTCATTCTGGTCCGTCACACTAACAATATTACAAATGATACAGCAATTCCGTCCAGTGTGACTGTTGAAGCTTTCGCTACTTCACTTCTTAGCACCCTAACATGTTTCGGTCCCTATAGACCATCATCGGAAGGAACATCGATACTTTTAGAAACTACTATTACATTGGGTGTTTTGATTTTTAAAATACATAAGTATACAATATTTGTAATATACACGTTATACAAAATCCAAATTTCTTGCAACTACAGCAACTGTCCTTGATGTATTAATGTGTTTAAACTTATTAACAGTGTTATTATAAACAGTACTTATTTATGTTATGCTTAACGACGCTGTCAGTCTGCCTCACCATGTAGCGTCGAACTAATGAATAGTGTGGATTAGAGAGGTGTGATCTGATGCACTGTTCCAGCTTTTCCGAGAGGAAATGAGGGAAACAACGAAATACTTCAGTCAGGGCAGCTGCACTCCTGACCGAGATTCGAATCGGACACCTATCAAGTACAGTTAGAAGTTTGAAGTTTAACTTGCTCGGTGAAGCCGCTCGAATTCGGTACATCTGTATTGATTTCCTTTTCAGTTCTGTGCTACTTGGTCTGGTGAAAAGTTGGCATCAGGCCATAAAGTCCTATGGGGAATGGAGGGCATATACCTTCACACACAGTTTCAGCACTAGATGCTTCGGCATGTTGACCCCGGGAATGAGCCCCTCATACCCATTGCATATGAGGCTTGGTTGGTGCCAGAGTCGGTCTGGACTCCCTGGAGAAAAGAAAACCCTCTTGCACATGTGGGAACCTGAATATGGATTCCTCTGTCGTCCAGTTCATTCCAGGCCATTGATCATTAGGGAGGTCATGAGGTTGCGAGGCTTCCTATTCGAAATTACGGGAATAAAACAACTACAGAAGTCCTACAACTACGCCTTTGAGAAGGTTTCCTCAAAGTCCACGTCCCAATTTTGTAAGTTCGCCAAGCAGGTGGGATGGCTCAGTCGGCCAAACGACAGAGGAACTGGAGCTTGAGTTCCCAGCAGGGGCATCCCACCGACCACGCTTGCCCTGGGGCCTACCCACCATCTTATCAATGGGTATCGAGACGTTTTTCCGAGGTAAAAAGCAAACTTGGCCTGAAGCTGACCGTTCACCTCCTTATGGCTCTGAGGTTAAGAGTTATGCCTAAGTTTCCTCATACGCCTTTATGGCGTGGTGCTTAATTAAGCACAAGGGGAACATAGGCTTATTTTTCAGCAGAGAAGTTTCAAACGTTGGCCTAATTCTTTTTAGTAGTTCGTTTCTAGAGAGACGCGAACAAAATTATTGATGATATCACTGACGTCTCTTTTGTCATTGATTTTCTACAAAGGAACCGTTTACTCCCTTTATCGGAATTAATAATTAATGTTAAATACCACAGAAACACTCCAAGTCGTGAGCATTTTGTTGCCCTTGCTGCCATCGCCCTAGCTGCTCGCGTACCACTATGACACACTGAATCGAGTCCAGTTCGAGTCCTGCTCACTATAATACTAAATAGGCTATCATTAGCTTCACTCGACTCGGCGCTAAGACAACTGGCACACTAACTGGATCGAGTCCAATTCGAGTCCGGCTCCCTGTGATCCTGTATAGGCGGACCCTCAGCTTCACTCGACTCGACACGTACGACTACTGGCATACTAACTGATCAAGTCCAATCCGAACCTGACTCCATGACGCTGTAAGTGCAGATCCATAGCTTCACTTGACCTAGTCGATGTGACAAAAGTATACAGGAATTATGAACGAAACAAATGGATCTGCATTTCCAGCGTCTTAGTGACTGAGACTCGATTCTACACGGTTAGTATGCCTGTTAGCCTAACGCTAGAGGCATATCAGGAATAGGCAGCGTATTTAGCGCCCAAAATACTGAAATGAATCTAATCTGCCGTGCCCAATTAAAAGTGTCTGTAAAAGTCAGCTCCGAAACTTTGTGCATTCTAAGTATACTCCAAACAATGCAGACTCTTCAATGTAATATATTCAGGGTGGCCGTGTAGAAAAATCTGAACTTCAGTTTGTATTGTTTGCCGTTATTATTTGCGTTGGACATCTCTACGTTCATGCATTCATTCATACATGTCGTTCTTATGACTTTCAGAACGTGTTTCATTGTCATGGTTACTAAGTATACTCATTATCGTCACGGTCCCTGTACCATTCTTGTGGGGGAAGAAACAAGGAAAGAAATCGACTTGGACTCATGACCATCCATACGAGAGCAGTAATAACAAAATCAACACATTTTCCGATTTGCTGTTCTTGAAATGAATAATATTTTTATACTCATCATCTGTCATCAATTTCCGAGATGCACTGCGTAATTACTAGGGACCGGATTTTTATGCCCTAATAATCCTTTAAATATGTATGCATTTATGCATGAAAAACTTCCGAAATATGCACTAAAATATGCACATAAAAATTTATACCAACTATTAAAATTGATTTTACATTATTTTAAGACCAACAAATCAATAAAGTAAGTTCATTTTATGTAATCACTGAATGATTAACTTACAATAAAAAGCTATACTTAAATACAAATCATGCAGCAAAGCCAACGTATTTCATTACAAATTTAAAAAATCAATGGTGCTCACATTTAGCTCTCGGAACTTTCAACTTCTCTTCTGCTGCAGTTCACAATTACTAAATGTTTTAGGTTTTCCATAGTTAGTCGCCTCCTGTTGTCTCGTAAGATGTCCTTATAGCGGGAAAAACTTCTTTCTACCTCACAGGAACTTAGGGGCGCATGTACAGAAGCCGCTATTTTCTCCACTGTTAGTGATGTTTTACTTGGCAGTTCAGCACGTTTACCGGCTAAATTTCTTCAATTTCACAAATCTGTTCATATCCTGGATTTTTTTAAAGAATGCTGTGTACTTTTTCCTTTACGACTTCATTAACTCTTCCAGGAACCGAATTCAATTTGGAAACAGTGGTTTTGAACACACTTAACGACTGATACAAAGTAGTATTGCTATTGCTTGCCTCCAGTGAGGAAATGGCGGATGGAAGATGAGAGAAGTGAGCAGATATATAGGGAAGACTAGTTTCTAGTTCTGCGTTTTTTAGTAAATCTTGGGCAATTTGAATTTATGCTGCACTTTTGGATCAAATGTATTTACGACATTCCTGTTTCTAAATGTTCGGTATAATAACTCGCTGCACACAGCCACGTGCCCCAGCGCGTTAAAATTGCTTCTGGCGGAAGTGGAACGCTCGGTGCTGCTGCTTTAAAGGCTTCCTTTCTGTACGGCGCTTTAACAAATACCTTCTCCACAGAAGACACCAACGTGTCAACAAGCGGAAAATTTGCACGAATTGTTTCTGCAGCACGGTGCAACCCCTGGGCAAGGCAAGTCAAATGTGTCATATTTGGAAATATAATTTAAGAGCAGTACCGGCTTTCACCATATAACTTGCGGCATCAGTCACAAAGAGCAATACGCGCTCATACTGAATGCCATTCGGCCATAGTAAATTCATGGAATTGATAAAAAAAATTCGGAAACTGCGGAGCTTTTGTCGTTTCAAGTTGCTCTACCGCAAGAAGATATGGGGTAGACTGTTCATTCTTATTAAGGGATCCAACTATACAATTTGCAATAAACCGTCCCTCACAATCTTGTGTTTCGTCGATTGATACCCAAACAAAATTATCTTGAATCTTACGAGTATCTCTAATGCTTTCAATTGTAAGACCGTAACACTGCTTCACGTAATTTCTGCGCACAGTAGATTCATCCGGCACTTTGCACTGTGTATACTTCTCTATGAAGTTTCTCAGAGTAGGATTGGTTAGTTTCTACAGCGGAATATCTGCCGCTAAAAAGGCTTCGCAAGAATCAAAGGAAAACTGTGAAAAACTATTATTAGAAAATTCACTAAGCAATTTTTGAGCAGGAGCAGTTTTCGCGGATTTAATTTTTATATTCTCTTTGTGTATATTAGTGTTC